CACCATTTATTGTCCAGTCACTCTGATGTGTCCGACTCTTTGCAACCCCATGGACTGCAGCACATCAAGCTTCCCTGTTCTTCACTATCTCCTGGAGTGGGCTCAAGCTCATGTCCATTGAGCTGGTGATGCCATCCAACCACCTCGTCCTCTGTCGCCCCTTTTCTAACTCTTGCCCTCAATCTTTCCCAGCATCAGGGTCAGCTCTTTTTTCCAATGAGTCAGCTCTTTGCATCTAGTGGCCAAAGTATTGGAGCTTCAGCTTCAGCATCAGTCCTTCCAATGAATATTCAGGGATGATTTCCTTTAAGATTGAGCTGTTTGATCTCCTTGTCGTTCAAGGGACCCTGAAGAGTCTTCTGCAGCATCACAATTCAAAAGCATCAATTCTTCAACGCTCAGTCTTGTTTACGGTGCAACTCTGTACATGACTACTGGGAAAACCATAGGTTTGATTATCATCACCATAGTCACCACCATAATCATCACCTTCATCACCAGTCACCATCCATCATCATCACCATCATAGTCACTTTTACTGAAAATCTACCGCTTGCCAGGCATACCATATGTTTGTTTTCTATTTTAAGCCTCTTAGCAGCCCTGCCAGTTAGGTATAATTATCTCCACATTACAGAGGAGGGATTTTCTGGAACCCAGACTGCCATGTCTCCCTGCATTGCAGCTCTGTCTTGAGGCAGCTTCTTAATCCCTTTCCCTGGCTCCTGTCCTGACCCAAAGGCATCAGGTTGACACCCCGCGAGAGTCTATTTCTCAGCATCACTCTCCAGAGTGCCCTATACAACACCTCCTTCTGCTTGAAGCAGTTTCTCTCGTTGGCCCTGAGCCCAGCCTCACACATCCCGTGTGTGCAGAAAGAGGAAGTGGACTCAGCGAGGAGGCCAGCACGCTGGTGACTTGGGGAGGACAGGGCCTCGTGTTAGGTATCAACACAATTGCCAGGTGTGCATGACAGAGGCTGGGGGACCGCTGATCCCTCCGTCCACCCCTCCGTCCCCCCGAGGACGGCTCATCAGAAGGATGCTAGTGTTCACGGAGCTGTGTGTCTCTGAATTACACTGAGATGCCATCTGTACCAGCTTTTCTCGATGGTTGGGAAGTGGGGGGCACTGAGGGAAAAGATTAAAGGTCACATTAGCATCCCAGGGAGGGGCACGAGGGATTCAGGAGGCTGGATCCCAGAACACTCACTGACTCCCAACTGGACGTGCTGTCCAGAACCCACGGGCCACCCAGCGAGCCTGTGGCCCTCCATGATGGCCTCTGGGACAGAATGCAAGGCTGGTGTCCAAGGCAGGAGGGGCCCCAAAGGCATTTCTGCCCGTGCTGCTGCGGAGGGTCAGGTGGGCAGGGCTGGACGGCAGCAGGCGGGCCCAGGACCCTGGAGAGGAGACGGCCCTCACGCCCCGGCCAGGCTCCCCAGCACGCTGGGAGGAAGGCACGCGGCCTGGAGCAGGGAGTCTGTCCTTAACTTACACCTGCTGAGAGACCAGATGCAGCCTTCTGCGCCCGGGCCTGGCAAACTGGGGCCCACGGGCTAAACTGGCCCGCTGCCTGGTTTATAAATAAAGTTTTATTGGCGCACAGCCACACATTAATCTGCATATCGTCTGTGGCTAAGTTCACACGGCAGAGGCAGAGTGGAGTAGCTGTGAAGACGTCCATGTGGTCTGAAAAGCCAGAATATTCACTCAGTGACTCTTTATAGCAAAAGTCGGCTGGCCTCTCTAACCCAAGGCAAGAGAGGCAGGGTCTTCCTACGAGCCCTGGGCGGCTCTGGGTCATCCCAAAGCCATCGGTGTTTGGGATGAGGACAGGTCCAGAGGACACAGGGGGAACCCAGCCCCAGAAATAACTCAGAATACAGGTTCCCAACATTCCAATAAAAAAGGTTACACTTTCAAAGATCATCCCGTCCTCCATTATTTCAAGAGACAGAAAACAGTTTTCTGTTTAGGTTTTTTTTTTCCCCCATGATAAAATATGCTTAAAATCTACCAGGGAAAATTAAGGAATGCTTTCCCCATCTAAGGCAATAATTAAGAAGCACATGTTGGCACAGATGTTTTACCAGCCAAAGCCAAGTCTCGTGATGTGTGTTTTTCTAGCCCAGCCGAGCAAGATATCCCCGCGCTAATAAATCCATTCCAGCATCCCTGTGCCTTGGAACACCTAGGGCCCCAGCTGTGTGCAAATCCCATCAATATGCTTTCATTAAAGAGCAGGCCAGCAGCTTTCAGGAAATCCCTTGAAGTCAGACTGAAATGCTTCCCCAGCCCCATCTGGCCAAGCTGCTCTCCTGTGCCAGGATCAGGGGGCACCCTGAGAGATGGCGGTTTGTGTCCCTGAGAAGGTGGGCCCAAGGGGCAAGGGGACGCCTGCAGGGAAGACAGGTAAGGCCTAATAATGGCCTGGCTCTGGGCAGCTCCCCTGGGCTGTACTGCAAAGGGCTATGGTGTGAAAAGCACAACTCACTCTTTCAGGGGCTCATCAAGGAAAGGCTTGATTGAGGGCAGGTATCTCAACTGGGTTGTGAAGAATGCATGCGAGTTTTCCAGGGCAAACTGACTCCCGTCACTTAGAAGTCTTGCTTGGAGGGCAGGGCTCGCATCCCACCCCCCGCTGCTTTCTGAGCATGCAGGCAACGCAGCTCGCCTGAGTTTTCAGTCCATCTCACCTGGGAGAGCAAGGGCTTTATATAAACTTGCTCACATCAAGGCTCCACTCGTGGAGCCAAAAAGTGAGCGGGGTCCTGAAGAGAGACCTGCACTCCTGTGTTCACAGCATCCCGTGTTCCCTGACGGATGAAATGCTAAAACGTGCTCCATCTACACAAGGGGAAACTGCTGCCGCTGTTCCGTCACTCACTCGTGTCCGACTCTCTGCGACCATGGGCTGTAGCATGCCAGGCTGCCCTGTCTTTCACCATCTCCCAGGGCTTGCTCAAACTCATGTCCACTGAGTCAGTGATGCCATCCAACTGTCTCATCCTCTGTCGTCCCCTTCTCCTTCTTCCTTCCATCTTTCTCAGCATCAGGATCTTTTCCAATGAGTCGGCTCTTCACATCAGATGGCCAAAGGATTGGAGCTTCAGCCTCAGCATCAGTCCTTCCAGTGAATATTCAGGGTTGATTTCCTTTAGAATTGACTAGTTTCATCTCCTTGAAGTTCAAGGGACTCTCAAGAGTCTTCTTCGGCACCACAATTCAGAAGCATCAATTCTTCGGTGCTCAGCCTTCTTTATAGTCCAACTCTCACATTCATATATGACCACTGGAAAAACCACAGCTTTGACCAGAGGGACCTTTGTCTGCAAAGTGATGTCTCTGCTTTTTAATATNTGTGGTGTATATATACACAATGAAATACTACTCAGCCTTAAAAAGGAAGAAAACTGTGACACAGCTACAACCCGGATGAACTTGAGGACAGTACACTGAGGGAAGTAAGATCTGATTCTATGCGATTTCACTTGTAGGAGGTCCCTAGGGTTGTCAAGTTCACAGAGACAGAACGCAGATGGTGGGGGCTGTGGGAGGGGACGGGGGGAGGGCTAATGGAGATAGAGTGTCAGTTTGGGGAGATGGGAAGTTCTGCAGACGGGTGCGGGTGACGCTCGTGCAGGATGTGAACGTGTTTAACGCTACTGAGATGCGTACCTTAACTGCACGCTCAAGACGGTCAAACATTTGCTCTGTTTTACTTATTTAACCACAGTGGACAAGGAATTAGGTTTCCAAGGTGTTGCTCATGGTAAAGAACCCACCTGCCAATGCAGGAGACATAAGAGATGTGGGTTCCAGCCCTAAGTAGGAAAGATCTCTTGGAGGAGAGCATGGCAACCCACTTCTTGCCTGGAAAATCTCACGGACAGAGGAGCCTGGCAGGCTACAGTCCATGGGGTCACAATAGAGTTGGACATGACTGAAGTGACTTAGCACACAAGAAGGAATTACACGGAAAAGGCCCACCAGGGACATGTGTGTACATACGATGGAAGCCTTGTGTTGTTACACGGCAGTCCCGTTGGCGTTCAGCGGGGTGCCAAAATCATCTTGGGGGCTCTGTCAGCCGCTCCCATCCCCATTTCACGGCTCCTACCTGCCCGCCTCCAGGCCCCAGGGGAGACCCGCTCTGGGGTACGTGAGACACGGTAACTGCAGACTCTGCCGTGGGGGGTTTCTGCCCAGTTCTGACCCTACCAGCTGCGTCCAGGACCCTCCTCTCACTGCCCGTGACTCAGGTTCTCCTTCTATGACAGGGATGTGTGTGTCGTGTGTGCTAAGCCGCTTCAGTCATGTCCGGCTTTCTGTGACCCCGTGGACTGTAGCCCACCAGGCTCCTCTGTCCATGGGATTCTCCAGGCAAGAATACTGGAGTGGGTTACCATTTCCTTCTCCAGGGGATCTTTCCAGCCCAGGGATGGAACCTGATTTTCTATGTCTTCTACATTTGGCAGGTAGGTTCTTTACTGCTAGCGCCACCTGGGAAGCTCGCACGATAGGGATAACCATCCTCAAAGAAGCTGGTGAAGACCTCTCCCAGCTAAGCATTGAGGGTCTGTGCTACCTTGAAGCCCTAACCCCCAGTGTGACTGTCTGGAGATGGGTCTTTACGAGGTGATTAGGTTAAATGAGGCTGTGAGGGTGGGGCCCTGATCTGATAGGATTAGCATCCTTGGCAGAAGAGACAGTGGATGGCTGGTTCTGTCTCTGCACGAGAGAGGACACAGCCGAAAGGGGGCAGGCAAACCCAAAGCGGGCAGACAGCCTTGCCCTGGAACCAAGCGGGGCAGCCCCTTGGTCTGGGACGTGCAGCCAGAACTGTGAGGAGAAAAACATCTGCTGTTTAGGCCGCCCCGTCTGTGGGGCTTCATCACAGCAGCTGGGACTGGACACCCCCCTGCAAAGCGCTGGGCACAGCCCCGGCCCCGGGGTGCACAGTCATGGAGGGTGTGGGGCGCGTGCCGGCTCACTGACCTGGTTGTAGAGGGCGCAGACGTGCAGGGCGGTGTTCCCCGAGGCGTTCTGGGCCCCCATGTCGGCCCCGTAGAAGAGCAGGTGCTCCAGATGCTGTACGTGGCCATACCTGCAGGCCTGAAACGAGAGTCCACACCATGAGCAGAGCTGCCTGGGGCATACCCAGCTCCCCCAGAGCTGACAGGGCAGCCGGCACAGCTCACAGCCCGCTCCTGCCTCTGGACCAGGCCCCCCACGACAGACCCCAGGGTGGGGAGCAGGAAAGCGGCTCCCAGTAGGACTGAGGATTGTGTTCAACAGAAGGGTGGGTCTGCATAAAGGGTCATGCATTCCTTCCACTGGGACCCGCAGGAGGGGAACCCCAGAGAGACATGCCCCAGGGGGTATTTTTTTGCTCCCTGGCCTCATCAACCGGCCCCAGGAAACGTGGATCAGGATGCTCCGTGCCTGGCCTTGCTAATCCAAGCCCCCCGGACCCCAGGATGACCCATGAGAACATCTGTGGGTGTGCGAGGACCTGTTGTGTCCTGGGGAGAGACCCCGCCCCCCTGTCCCGTCCTCCAGGCAGGGGCAGCCCCGCTAAGACTTTAACATGAACCCACCCTGAAGGGGTGCGGGCAGCAGGGGAGGTGGCCCCACAGCGAGATTTACACTTTTCTGAGCCCTTTAGGGGGTGACGTGGGAGCCAACAGGGTTCTGGGCTCCACCAAACCTGGCTCGATTTCCCAGAGCTTTCACTCGGAGCCTATGTCTTCACGTGCCAACAGAAACCCTACTCGAGGGGTTCACATGAGTCACGTGAATACGGGGCCTGAAAAGACCCCCAGTGATGCTCAGGAATAGGCCTGCCCCCCACCCCCACAGCAAGCGGGGAGAGCTGGCATTGAGGCTGGGAGTGGGCAGGGGCTGTTCAGCTCCCGCAGGGGGTCCAGAGGCTGGGGGGGGTCTCCTGACCCTGGGCAGCAGGTCCTATCCGACTAACCCCACCCCATCCAGCAGCACCGCCCGCACCGCCAGTGGTGCACAGCACCAAGGTGCTGAGGCCCCTTGTCCCTGTGTCGGGGCGACAGCGTGGACGGGGAGACACGAGAGGCCAGCGAACGGGGTCCAGACCCAGGACTGCACACATGGAGGGCGGGACGCGCTGGGCAGAGCAGATAGCTGGCCCGGCCAGGACGGATAGCTGCGGGGCGTTGGGGTCGGGCTGGCGCTCAGCTCGTTAGCCCTGCCTTTCTGATAACTGAGACAGGCTGAGCGGAACTTCCACCTCTGTGCCGTGCAAGAGAAGAGCGCTACACCTCGCCAATTAACAGAGGAGAGAGGACAGGAGGATACGGGGGATTAGTAATCGGATGAGCTTAAAAAAAAAAACCTTGAGAAACACCCACTCTCAACACCGGTGCCGTTTATAGAGCAGATCATCACCGGAGACAAGGCTGCTTCTACCTGCCTGCACCACCCTCCCTTTTCCTGGCGACAGCACCTGCCTATTCCTCTGGGGCCCCGACCCCGCTCCCAGAGGCCTGGGGGCCCGCCCCTCCCCACGCCTACAGCGCACCCAGAACTTTCTAGCGTTTGGCCATGGGCGTGGGCTGGGGATGCCCAAGTGACTCTAGGGAGCCGCGGAGACGGAGGCTGAAACATTTGTCAGAACGACAGAGAAAATGAAGTTCTCGCTTTCCTCCAGGAGGGTCGGCAAAAAAAGAGCCACAGAAGCTCAGAGCTGCCGGGGCCACCGACGCAGAGGAAAGGAAAAGTGGGAGCTGAAGGCAGGAGAGAAAACAAGACACACAGACACACACACGCAGACACACAGACACACACACACGCAGACACACAGACACACACACACAGACACACAGACAGACACACACAGATACACACACACACACACACAGAGACAGATACACACACACACAGACACACACAGAGACACACACAGATATACACACACATACAGACACACACAGATATACATACACACACAGACACACAGACACACACACACACATAGACACACACACAGATACACAGACACACACACACAGACACACACACACACATAGACACACACAGATACACACACACAGACACACAGACACACACAGACACATAGACACACACAGACACAGACACAGACACAGGCACACACACAGATACACGCAGACACACACACGCAGACACACACACACAGACACACACACACACACACAGACACTGCCAAGGTAACGCCCTGTGAACCCCTCTCAGCTAAAACTGTGCCTGGGGCTCTTCAAGACGTAAGCCAAGGCATAATTTTAATTTTCCCCTTATATCAGTTGGAGATTTTTGACCCTCAAATTGAAGGAGCCCTCGCCAAACCACTCTCTCCAAAGGCCTTCCAGGAAGCAAGACTGTATTTGGCTTAACTACCCTATAGTCAGAAGCGAAAAGAGCTGCATTGGCGTAAAAAAATTAACATCACTCCACACCCACCCTCCCCCTTCCCATGGTTAATCTGAAATTGTGAGGTTTTATGCGACATCATGGGATCGTGTCTCGCTCTCCTCACCAAGGGTCACGACACGATCAATGCGAAGAGACAGAATAGCGCCGCTGACCCTGGGCAGACTGTCTGGGAAAGAACCCCCAAGGGCTTCCTCTCCACCCCTGTCTTTCTCAGAGCCCAGTGTCTGAAAACAAGCAAAACCAGAAAATTCAGACAAGTGCTGGAACAACAACAAACTCCCATAATCGCTTTTCTAAAGGATCGTCTTTGCTCATCTCTTCTCTTAAACCACTGGCTGTTACATGGCTTTGGCCACCTGATGCAAAGACCTGCCTCATTTGAAAAGACCCTGATGCTGGGAAAGATTGAGGGCAGGAGGAGAAGGGGACGACGGAGGATGAGATGCTTGGATGGCATCACCAACTCAATGGATATGAGTTTGGGTAAATTCCAGGAGTTGATGATGGACAGGGAAGTCTGGCATGCTGTGGTTCACGGGGTCGCAAAGAGTCGGACACGACTGAGCGACTGAGCTGAACTGTTAGGTGACAGAAGCCGTGTTTGCTGAAGAAGCGGCCTGGCGCACAGGAAAGGGAGGAGGGAATCGGGCGAGGCGGTGGCCAGAGGAGTGAGCAGACCAGCTGCAGTCAGTTGGCGGGCGGGGGGCGGTGAGAAACAGGTACATAAATGAAGGGAAACGGGAGCAGGTTTCCCAGTGTCAAAGGAGGGAGTCAGTGATGCAGTGCGGGAGAAAACGAGAGGAACCTCTGTGGCACTGGACCAGAAAAAGAGATATTTCAATAGGAGATTTTGGTTCTCAATAGAAAAGCAAAAGAGTAACTGTGCAGGCATGCCTGGATGTATGTGGACACACGCCCCTAACGCTGACCTAACACACACACGCACCTGAGTTTCTGGCTTCGGCAAAAGATTGGATGAGGGTGGTGTTAACCTACAGGGGGAAAATGAGAAGTGAAGGTCTCAAGAACTGAGAAACGATAAATCAAAATTTCTGTTTTCACCAAAACAGGCTATCCCATGTTTATGAGACTCCTCTGTGGCGACGCCACCCAAGTGTTTGCATGTGCCAGTTTGGAGTTTCAGGGAGAGTCAGAGTTGAAACAAGTTGTGGAATCTGTTGGTAGATATGGACTGAAATCGTGTGAAATAGCCAATTCTCATAAAAAATGGTTGAATGATGGTGGTTTCGCTGGTTCAGTCTAAGAGAGGATATTTAAACCCGCAGGTCTGAATGTAGTCGCTTAGAAAGAGCATTTAGAGGAGAGAGAACAAGGGCAGAGCCTTGGGCACCTACCACTTAGAGGTGGAGCAGGACAGGAGGAGCTTTCCTGCTGGCTCAGCTGTAGAGAACCCGCTGGCCAACGTAGGAGATGTAGCTTCAGTCCCTGGGTTGGGAAGGTCCTCTGAAGAAGGAATTGGCAACCCACTCCAGTGTTCTTGTCTGGGAAATCCCATGGACAGAGGAGCCTGGTGGGCTACAGTCCACGGGGTCGCAGAGAGTCAGGCATGACTGGGAGACGAAAAAACAACCCCCTCTGAGAGGGCCTGGGGTCAGGAACAGCCCAGGAGCAGTGAGCGCACTTAATACCCAGATCTTAGGCTCTAAACACCACTCAGGACTCCAAAGAATCGGGACTACTAGCAGAGATGGCTGATTCGAGGGCTGAGGCACGAAAAAATAAGATGAGCTTGGAATATCTTGCTGAGCCCGAAGGAAAAAGGATGAGGATGTGTCCACAGGACACACAGGCCATCCTGAAGGGGCTCCCTGGACCTGAAGTGGGATAACATTAACAGACAGTTACCTCTTGAACAAACAGAAATCCATGAAACCACATTACTATAAACAAGTGAATAAACAAACAGGAAGAGAAAGCGCCTTCTGATAACGGAAAGCCAACTAATTAGTGTGAGAAGTAAGGATGGGAGTAGGAAAATCTCCATTTAGCAGTTAATTACTTAATTCAGGCAAGAAATACCAATGCATGCTAAAACTAGCAGGTGAGAGGGAGACGGGGAAACGGGCTTTCTCAAATACTCCCTGACTACAAAGGGAAGAGAAAAGTGCAGTGGAGAACCCGGCAGATTCCAGGTGAGCAGGGATCAGAGTGAACATCACCAGTGACGGCACACGGTCACCACTGCCCCCAGATTGGACCACCAGAAACACATGTCCCCTCCATGATATTCCTGCAAAAATGCCTATCACGCATCTCATCACCAGGAAACACTGAGCAAATCCACACCAGGCAACAGTCTCCACATGACCACCCTGCAACCTTCAGAAGAGGCCCCTGAGAGAACCAAGGGAAGACGGATGAACTCTGCCAGATGGAAGGGTTCCTGCAGCCTCCCAGCCTGGATCTTTTCACTGTGCGTGCCAAGTCACTTCTGTCGTGTCTGACTTTTCATGACCCTGTGGACTGTAGCCCTCCAGGCTCCTCTGTCCATGGGATTCTCCAGGCAAGATCTTCCCGACCCAGGGATCAACCATTGTAGGCAGACACTTTGCCAGTGAGCTACCAGGGAAGTCCTTGGTATGATAGGACTCTGAGGATAGGGCGTCCAGCAACCTCTGTCCATGGGATTCTCCAGGCAAGAATACTGGAGTGGGTTGCCATGCCCTCCTCCAGGGGATCTTCCCGACCCAGGGATCAACCAGCACCTCTTACGTCTCCTACATCGGCAAGTGTGTTCTTTACCACCAGCACCATCTGGGAGGCCCCGTGTCCTTTTACTGTATTTGTCATTACTGGGACAATGAGAAAAACTCAGATGTGGTCTCTGAGTACCGAGGTTTCTCTGTATTTACTCCTGCAAGCCCTCTTTAAGTTTGAAATTAAAATATTCACTCAGTTTTAAAATAAGAGAAATTAGTACTTGTTTGACAAAAAGACCTCAAAGCTTATTAAAAATGTGTCTTCCCCCCAAGATAAGTCGTGCTAACCCTTTGTCCTTTATTTGAAAAGGGTGTTGTGCTTTCTGGCGCTTGGGAGACAGATTAAAAGGATTGACAGAGGTCAGAAAGTAGCTAGAATGTAAAACAGCACCCCCTACATTCACGTTGCTTAACTATTTTCTTCTGAGACGCTTTTTGGAAAATGCATGTGTCTGGGGCTCCATCCCACAACCACTTCCTGCAAATTTCCTGGGCAGGTGCATTCGGAGGAGACTCCCCACAGAATCTGGGATCTGGGATTCCCTCACCTATGCTGAGCGTCCCCCTCCCCCTACCACTAGCCAAACACACGATAGGCGCAAATGAAGGAAGAAAGACTTGCTCCTTCCTCCAGGCACTGCACTGCCGCCTGCTGGACACCTGCTGCGATACAGCTACAAGCCTGAATTTACAGCACGTGGAACAGCGCCCCCTGGGGCTGCGCAATGCAACCAGAGCGACGCAGAGCTCATCGCACCGCAAAGGCTTCTGCTTGGGTCTGTGCCACAAGCAAAACTACCTGAGTCCGCATCACACTGGGGCATTTCTCCTACAGCATGTGCTTTGTAAGACAAGCTGGAGATACGACAGCAGAACAGTCAGCATGCAGCGCCCACACAGACCCAGAACCACACCCGGCTGTGAGCGCCACCAGGGAACCTCCGGGGGCCTGTCCCACTACTGTGGGGTCGGGGGGAGCGCCAAGGACTTGGAGCCCAGGTCTGAGGGTGAGCAGGGCTTAGCCCTGTGAGGAAGAGGGACAGGAGGGAGCAGTGGCCCGAAGCTGTAATTTCCTTAAGGCTAAAGCTTCTCATTTGAAAATGATAAATAATAAACAGCAACCAATACAAATTAAGACCGAAAGGTAAACATCCTTAAGAAAATTGTTGCAGGAAATCAAATGAGATCTGTGTGAAGGCCTGTGAGCAAACGGGTTAGGTGCCCTCTGTCAAGCATCATTCCTTAGAGACAGAACCAGACAGGGCCAAGAGGATACGGTGAGGCTGAGTGATGGGGGCGTGGCCAGATGATGATGGGAATAGTGGGGGCGTGGCNTCCTGCAATCCCAGCCCAGAATAAGCTGTACTGACAGCTCAAGGAAGAAATCTCACATCTCCCAAAAAGAATCAGAGAAGGAGGAAGAGAAGGAGGTGCCCCATGTGGGCCATGGGGCACAGCTGCTTACGAAGGTGTGTGGAAACGCGAGACTCCTTCGCCAAGCAGCTGTCCTCTCACGGGGCCCTCAGCCTCACCAGTAACACAGCCTCGAGTCCTGACAGAGCCAGCGTTCCATCCTTTCTACTGCCTGAGAGTGTGGGAGGCCCTGCTGAGCCCACTTCACAGATGGGCAAATGGAGGCCTGGTGAGCAGGGTCGCAGAGGCCCGTCGCCCCCAGCTCACACCACAGGAGGGAACCGGATGCTCCTCCAGACTGCGCGGACGCGCCAGAACTGAACGCTAAGCGCACCTGGCTGGGGTGGGCCCACCGCCGCACCCCCGCACCCCTCCACCTGCCGGGGGTGGGTGCGTCAACCGGCTGAGATGGGCAGGTGTATAAGGCGACGGTGTCGAAGGGAAGGACAGTGAAAGACACTGAGAAGCAGTGAAAGTCACTGCAATGTAAAGGCAAGCGTGAGACCGTCAGAGCCTCTTCCATGACCTCCTGGCGGGATATCCCTGCCCCTCTCTCCCCTCCATCCGCAGGGAGGCCCTCATGTCCACCCCTGCACCACCGGGCTCTGATTGGCTGGCTCTGGAGGGACTCAGCCAATGGGAGGGCGGGAGGACCGAGACCCAGGTGCCTCTTCTGCACATCCTCCCTGACTCTGCCCAGCTCTGGGCGCCCTCCTCTGCAGGCTCCGCCCGCTTCCCTGAACACTGTCTCCTCTCCGTGCCCTCCGTCCAGTAAAGACGCTTCATCGGAGCCACCAGGTGGATTCTGTTTCCTCCACAACCGCAGCCGACACTCCCCCAGCCCCACTGCTGCAGGGAGTGTCTCGGAAACCTGTGCCTCGTGCAAGGACATCAGGCCCTGCGCTGGGTCACCCACACTCAGAAAGCCCCTGGTCCCAGGCTCTATAGGGGGGCCCAGGCTGGGGGGCGCCCAGAGCACCCATGGCTCCTGCAGAGGGGTGCTCGCCCTGCACCCCAGCCCTGTCCGCCCGGCTGGCAGGTGAGGGCAGCTCCGCGCACCTGGTGAATCTCATGCCAGCCGTTCTCGTCCTTGCAGCTCACGGCCGCGTGCTCGTGGAGCAGCAGCTCACAGCAGCAGGGGTCGCCCCCGACCACTGCCGTGTGATACAGCGGGGTCAGGCCGTAGCTGTCCTTGTAATCCGGGGACGCGCCAAGCTCCAAGAGGGTCTGAAAAAAAAAATACACCAATGTAAGGTCACTGGTCTCATGGCCCCTTCTGCAGGATGAAGCAATCAAGAAGGAAGAGGCGGGTCGCACTCCCTGCTCCCAGGCCCAGGTGACCATTAGCCCTGGGTTCCTGTACTTTTCCTGGCCTCCTGGAACTGAAATAGCATCTGGTGCCAGGCATGCACACACGCTGACACACCCGGGGGATGGAGGTGTTCTGCACAGGTGACCCTCGGGCAGTACCTGCTGCCCGGCTGACCCCTGTGGACCAGTGGAGAGTAAGGCGGGAGACGACATTTGCAGGAAAGAGTTGTACTGTTGAACCTAAAAGTACAGTGTAAACCATCTCTGTGTGCATCCTGCAGGGGCTGAAATGAGCCAGAGTCGTCACAAACATGTGATTTCCAAGGAAGCCAGCTGAACAAGGGCGGCCGCTATGAAGTTAAGAAATCTGCTTTATAGAACAGCACCATCTGGGGGCCCTCCGCCCACAGCAGTGGGTCCCCTCCCCTCCTCGCCCTGACAGAGAGCGGGCCCAGGGCCTGAGCCCGCTGTCCTGCGCTCCTCGGCACGGCAGAGCCTGGGCTGGTAGAGCGTGCTTGAGTAACAGTGTGGGGAGCGAGATGGGGCTGAGGCGCACCCCCTGCCCCGCCAGCGTCGGCTCCCAGTGTCCAGGAAAGGGGCGGCAGCAGCGAGGCTGGCTCAGCGGCCTCGGGCTGGATTTGCAGCCCTTCTGTTTCAGCCGAGGGGCTCGTATTTTCAGCTCAAACCCACCTTTCTAGGGAGGCAGTGGGTTTGAGCTGAAAATACGAGCCCTTCAGCTGAAAGGGAAGGGAAAGAGGACTTTTTGTGATCAGCTTGCACTTCCAAGCTCCAGTGAGAACCCAACTTTGGGGTCACCCTGGGGTGGCTGTTGTGGGGCAGGAAAGGGTTCAGGGCAGACGCAGGGGTTCAGACGAGGGGGCGTCCCCGTGTGAGATGGGCCCTGTGTTACCTTCAGGGCCAGCAGGTTCCTGGTGCGGGCGGCTTTGTGCAGGGCTGTCATGCCATCCTTGGCGCGGAAGTCCAGGTGGGCCCCGCCGTTCCGGAGGGCCTTGATCATCTCCACGGGGTCGTCCAGCTGAGCAGCCAAGGTCAGGGGAGTCTCTAGGGGCCCAAACACACGCACGTTAGAACTAGCCCAGTCATATCACCCCCGCGGCCAAGTTCAAACATCCCAAAGAGTTTGACAAACTGACTTCCCCAAAGTAACACGGTCCCCACCCACCTGCTGACCCCAACCATCCACGTAGTTCCAGCCTAGCTCTGGCAACCCTAGAGGCGACGGTGGTGACTCTCGGGGTCACGTGCAAAACTACAACGGGGGCAGAGGCAACATTCAACCTCATCGCCTCGTGGGCCCTGCGTCTGGGAAGCGGCCTCTGCCCGCAGCACAGAGAATCCCGCAGCCCCAGCCGACGCCTCCCTACAGGAGGAGCCATCCGTCAGGGCTGCAGGTAACGATGCAGAGGAAGGGGTTTCCCTGGCGGTCCAGTGGTTAAGACTCCACGCTTCCACTGCTGGGGTCGTGGGTTCAATCATTGGTTGGGGAACTAAGATCCCACGTGAGGCAGGGTGCAGCCAGAAAGTAAAAAATAAATAAATAAAAACAAAATTAAAAGACTGGAAAGGCAGACACCTGCCTTTCTCATGTCAGTTTCACAACATCTACAGGCACCTTGGGAGACGCCAGGGGCTGAGCTGAAGGGAAACAAACGTGGGTTAAGACACAGGCTCGTGCCCCGCAGGGGTCTCCACTGAGCCAGCACAGAGACCCCGACAGTCATCACGATGGGAGGGGACCAATGCAAACAAGGACCAATCTACAAAGCCCGGGACAGAAGGCTGAAGTCCGCCTGCGTGGGGACAGGGGTCAGGAAGGAGCCCCACACTGGCCAGGTGGGCCAGTCTGCAGGTGGCTGTGGCCAAGGACGAGCCTCTGTCATCAGACAGCTCTGCTCACTGTCCCTCGAGTTCCCGCCATCACCCCTGTCGAGCAGACTGCATGGCCCTGATGAGGCTCTTAACTTACAGTGAAGGGCAAAGAGTAATATGACAACACGCAGGCTCCCCTGAAACACTGATAGTTAATAATGAGTCGTTCTAGCCTCGAGCAAGTTTCGAGAGTAAGAGAAGTGGGTTATCACCTGGGGGCAGAATTCCCTTCAGACCACCTGTCACCAACACATCACCCTGCACCCTGAGAAAAGGCAACTTCATCACAAATTCAGATTGACGACTCCCTTCTATTTGTAATTCCGACACTGATCTATCGGCAAAGGGGTTTGTTTGGGGGGCTTTTAAAATGCACTGCTGGAATCCCTCTGTGCCTTGACTTTTCGTGGTGAGATCCATGGGTTTAACCTGCTCCTTGTAACTTGTCTGCAGCAGGTAGACACACCCCAGAGTGTGTGAACACACAACTTATGTGTTCTCTTCCGAGGGAAATGGTATGACGCTCACAAATGCCACAGACACATCCCTGCTGAAAATCTACCAGAGGCGCCCTCTCATGCAGAGATATTTAAACAAAGGAGTTTTCTGGGATGACTAAAGGACCGTGGTGACAGTGGGGACATTCCCTATACAAAAAACATCAGCAAGGCAAGAAAATCAGGACTTGGAGAGGGTGTCTGGGAATCCAGACCGGCTGTGATCATGGACAGTGGTGTGGACACAGGGCTGATGGGCAGAAAGAAAGACTCAGAGACCCCCACCCACCGGAGATGGGAGAGGGAGGGGGCCAGGCCCTCACTGCCTCAGCCCAGCCACGCCTGGCAGAGAAAGGACACTGCAGGAGGGTGTGGGTGAGGGTGACCTGGGAAGGGCGTAAGGATGGGGTCGTCAGGAGCCGCCAGCAACCACCCTCCAAAGTCAAGTCTCTACAGCAGCTCCTCGTGTGTGATATGAGCGCACATCCGCGCTGACGGCGCCCAGGGCAAGGTCAACCTTCCAAACGATTCGGGTTTTCATTTCTTACTGACGGTCTGCACTTGGCCAGTGCCACAGCCAGGCGGACCAAAGGAGGAATTTTTTGTTTATGTGGCACTGTTTTCATAGCTGACAACCTCAATGTCACTTTACACTGAGACCGCAGTCTAAGAGGGAGGTGCTGGTAGATGGTGACACTCCACATCACAGAGCCCTCCGGCCCGGCCGCCCCCCGGGGACCAGCGCTGGGCACGCAGGCGGGTGGAGGGGAGCAGACACCCCGTCGGGCGCTGCGTGTCTCCTGCATGAGACGGGACCTCAGCCCTTGGACGCCAACCAGGGACACTGAGTGACCCGTAACCGTGTCATAAGAATTTCAGAGACCCTCGTCGACCGACCCAGCAGACTTGGCACGCTCAGATCCAGCCAGGACCCACCCTGGCGAGGTCAGGAGAGACCCCCAGCTTAGACCCCACGTGGGTGGGTGGGAGCACCAAGGAGATGCTCGTCAACCAGCTCACTCATGCGGCCCCACAGGACTGCACTGTCTATAACCGGGTATCGTGATCCCGCCTCCAGCACGCTTGGGAACGGCAATCGCCTGACAGCCTGGTTCTTTGAAAATACTTCTGTTTTGGCATTTTGAAATCTTCTAAGTTTTAAAAAGTGCACCGGAACCTCCATGAGTATAACCTCACAGGGGACCAGTCTCTCTCATTTTGGAGGTGACTCTAAAGACAGCATCCCCTCTAACCTACAAACTGCCTGATGGAATTCTGGCTCCAGGAATGACCGGGACATGCTTTGAAAGGCAGGTTCTCGGCCGTGAGCATGGGAGGTGCCTACAAACCCAGGGGGAGGACACCGACTACAAGGCTTCCTGTCCGTCTGGATGTGGAGTGAGGCCCGGTGGCTGGAAGGCAGGCGGCAGGACACTGTGCGGGCACAGGGCAGCTGCCAACCCCTGCAGCTGGGAATGTGCTCCAGCCCAGGTTCAGGGGCGCAGCCGGGACCTCAGAAGGATGGGAGCCTGGTGAGAACCTCCCAGAGGGGCAGCGCCGCCCAGCTCTGGCCTGGGCCGCCTCCAGCATGTGTTCCAAACCTTCTGGGCCTCAGTTTCCACACCTGTGTTATTGTTGTTTAGTCTCCAAGTCACGTCTGACTCTTGGCCATCCCAAGGACTGTAGCCCGCCAGGCTCCTCTGTCGATGGGATTTCCCAGCCAAGAATACTGCAGTGGATTGCCATTTCCTCCTCCAGGGGGTCTTCCTGACCCAGGGATCGAACCTGCATCTCCTGGCAGGCAGGCAGATTCTTTACCAGTGAGCCACCCGGGAAGCCCTCCTACACCAAAGCGACGGGAATCAAAGTAGGACCGGCACCTCGTGGCGCTCTGGGAGGATCAGATGCCACATCTTACGACAGAGCAGTGCTTGGCCCACAGTCAGAGTTTCTCCAGGGGATTTGGCTAGAAATGGTTTTATTTCCTTTATTATTGTTTGACAAACATAGACAGCGTATTAAAAGCAGAGACATTACTTTGCCAACAAAGGTCTGTCTAGTCAAAGCTATGATTTTTCCAGTAAACAGGTATGGATGTGAGAGTTGGACCATAACGAAGGCTGAGCACCAAAGAGCTGATGGTTTTGAACTGTGGTGCTGGAGAAGACCCTTGCGAGTCCCTTGGACTGCAAGGAGATCAAACCAGTCAATCCTAAAGGAAATCAGTCCTGAATATTCATCAGAGGGACTGATGCTAAAGCTAAAGCTCCAATACTTTGGCCACCTGATGCGAAGACTTGACTTATTTGAAAAGACCCTGATTCTGGGAAAGATTGAAGTCAGGAGGAGAAGTGGGTGACAGAGGATGAGATGGTTGGATGGCATCACCGACTCAATGGACATGACTTTGAGCAAACTCTGGGAGATGGTGAAGGACAGGGAAGCCTGGCAAAGAGTTAGACATGACTGAGCGACTGAACAACAACATGTTTTTTTTTTCAGTATTTTTAAAAACCTACGCAATGCCTTCATTATCATATAATCATAAAAGTAATTTCTAAAATGAACCATGAAGCCATTGCTCACTCCCATATCCCCCCGCCCCCTGCACAGGCACAAAGCCCACAAGACGCTTTTCTCAGCGAGAGACAGTCACGGTGCCCCCGGACACAGACCCAGTGAAACGAACATTTGCAGACCTACTAAGTGACCGGCCCTGTGAAGGGACGGCAGCTGCCCCGGGGGAGGACCAGATGTGTCTCCTCGAACTCCTACAGGATAGACGGCCACACAGACAGGCAGGACGGAGGGTGGACAGGTAGCTGGGTAGATCGGAGGGCGGGAGGGAGGGAGGGTAAGGCAAAGTGCCGGCCGATGGCATACAGACAGAGACGGCACACAGGCACGGCTAAGAATGAGTTGAACCGAACAACAGAAGACTCATATTTGGTCTCAAGGTAGACTGAGGGGACACAAACCATGACTGCATTTACCTTTGTAAGTAATTAGCCCATCACTGAATATAAAACCCATTACTGAGCTACTCCTAATTCAGAGATCACGCCCACCTCAGGCCATGGCCCATTTGCCTCGTGCAGAACAACGCCGGCCAGCAAAGCCTGACCTGGGGGTGGAACCACTGAGGTCCAGCCTGGGCTCAGCTATGATTTTGACAGAAACCCTGAACCCTACAGGCTGCGGGTTCCCCATCTGCTTTGCAAAGCTCCGCCCACGCGAAGGGCCACAGGAAGCCACGGCTCTGAACATGCTTCACCCAAGCAGGCAAAGGATCCACAGTGACAGGATAGGTAAGAATCACGGTTCCAGTTTAACCTGGAAATTGAGTCCCCACGACACTCGCAAGAGGGACAGTATTCCAGTGGACTCGGGGCTTCTGCCTTCACTCACGTTCATACAACCTCACGTTCCTAAACAATCCGTTTGGTTAAAACATGCATCTCTAAAACACAACACATCCCTTCTAAGTCACACTGAAATTCTGCCACCCAAATGCAGAACTCCAGACAATGACCCAGGACACCTTCCCATCTGAGACTGTGACTGCCAAACCCAGGGGAGAAGTAGCCTAGAATGTTCTAGAAGTCCCCACAATGAAGGTGTCTCCTTGGAAGGGGAGACCTGAGAAGCTCATACAAACAAAAAAGCAGAGAGTTG